AATAGTATTCAACTATGAACTTTCAACAGTAGACATTTTTCCTTTTCTATTGTTTAAGCTAGAAGAAACTTATAGCTTTAGCTGTGTTTACAAAAATTTGAACTTTGAACAAACTGTGTCAGCGCGATACTAATTCAAGCTAATCTGGAAAATAGCACTATGGGATGAGATTATTAACTGACGACCTTTCGGATTATGTATGAATTCTTTCTCCTAGAACTACTACCTACATACAAACAGGCACAGAAACTAACGAGGGAATCCCTGAAGTGTTCCCTTCCGATTTCCTTCGTTCATATGCCATTCGATAGGTCATATAGAGGTATGAAAAAGTCTAAGAGGAATAGTGCGCCATTTGCTTCCTTCAAAAGTTAGACGCATTTTTCTAATTTTCCTAGCGGAAAACTCAAGAAACTGAAAAGTCCATAACTCCGTCAAATTCAAGAGTATCCGCTTGAAACTTTCACACATGATACCTACCTTAGTCTAGTATTTACGCTGAAAGTTTCAAGTCTCGAACGCGTTTCCTTGAGGAGATATAGATTTTTTCATTTTCCAACGTGTTATTGTGAGGTTTACCTCATCGCTTGAGTGTTATTTGCGCTTATCTTTATGTTCAGCATTTAAGAACTTTTTTGATATACTGACTAATTACTATTTTGGTGTTTTTGTTATTTTTCACACGACAAGCACATGCTAATTGTTAAGAAGCCGTTAGATTTGTCACAAGACTAAAATCAGCTGATTAGAGAGAAAAGATAAAGTGTTTGAGGAAAAAACACATAAAGCCGTTATTTCGCAATAAGAACGACAGTTATCCCTTGAAAAATGAAAAATTCTATATCTCCTCAAGGAAACGCGTTCGAGACTTGAAACTTTCAGCGTAAATACTAGACTAAGGTAGGTATCATGTGTGAAAGTTTCAAGCGGATACTCTTGAATTTGACGGAGTTATGGACTTTTCAGTTTCTTGAGTTTTCCGCTAGGAAAATTAGAAAAATGCGTCTAACTTTTGAAGGAAGCAAATGGCGCACTATTCCTCTTAAGCTTTTTCATACCTCCATATGGCCTATCGAATGGCATATGAACGAAGGAAATCGGAAGGGGACACCTCAGGTGTTCCCTCGGAAGAAATTTTTATACTTCATACAAGACTATTTTCAAAAAAAACCTGGTCCCGGTCCTATTAAAAGTTCCACGGAACTGGGACAACCCCGCAGGACTGAGACCGTCCCGCAGACCTCTAGGTCCCGGTCCCGTAAAAAAGATTTTTCTGAGTTCCGATCTCGTAAAAAGTCCCGCGGGACCGGGATAAGACCGAGAATGTCCATTGGTTTGATCAATTTAGAAAAAAGAGAAGAAGGAACTGAGCTGAAGGATAAAATTAATCTGGAAGATATCGGCGATTTATATGAGATGAACAAACAGGAACCTTCACAGCGATCTCTATCTGTCTTGCTTTATTTAACATTGACACACTTCGGAGTTAGCTGGAGAAAGACTGAGGAATTCATGCAGCGCATTGGTGGAATGTCGCCACAAACGTGTCATAAATGGGCAGAAACGTTCATAGAAGAAGACTATGATGATTTCGTTGAAGAAAACCGAGGCGCAAGCATGGAGATTCGTTCTTCGATACCTTCCCTGAGTTGGAAATTAAAATGAAACTGTATGCGATTCAAGGAGCAACAAGAAAGAATGCGTCATTCACTTCACTGGAGTTGGCTAGATATTTGGATGATCAGTACTATGAATTGACGGGGGAGGTAAGACGGTTTTACTCCCAGTTGTTCTTAGTTTGTTCTTGGGGTTTTATCTTCTTCTCTCTTCCACAGGTCAAAGCAACGGATCAACTGATCCGATCAGAAAGATTGTGTAGACTAGATCTACGGCGTTACGGCTGTAAGTTTGACAAAAACTCCCAGAAGCCTTATTGGATCGGCCATGAACGGTCTGATGTTATTGAAGCTAGGAATGAATTTGTCAAAACTTTTCTTACGAACAAAGATCATTACTATTTGGTGTCAGATGGCAATGATCCATACTGGGTGGTTCCCAAAAAAAATTCAACGATTCTGCTCTGTAGGTTCGATGATAGGCTCTTTTCCTCTAAGTCGTTTTTCTTTCCTGTTTCTTGTAGTCCACGACGAGTCCTGCTTTCGTAGTGGAGAAACTACTGCACGTCGGTGGTTCTTCTCAGAAGAAACTACAAGATTCTTCAACAAGGGGAAGGGACGCTCGCTCATGTTTAGTGAATTCCTTGTTTCGTGTCCAGAAGGTCCTTTCTTCGAATTGTCCAATGAGGAGTGGGCAGCTGCTGTTACAAGACATGGTGATTTGTCAGACGGTAGCACGATGAAGTATCTGCCCAGATCAGCATCAGCTTCAATACAGGTTGGCGTAGACGGCTACTTTGACAATGACGCGGTCATAGAACAATTCACCCGTCTCTTCAAACTCTTACCATTCAAGAAGTCTTATGAAGGGCATAAAATCAACATCGTTGTGGACAATGCCCGAACTCATTCAGCGAGAGAATATTCGCTGAATGAGTTTGATAAAGGGATCGGTACCAGATGTCCTGTCAAATCGATTCAGTACATCGACGAGAAAGGGAACAAAAATAGAATAGAATGTTACTTCAAAGGAGGTGAAAATAACGGAAAGTCGAAGGGACTTCTGATACTAGCTCGTGAGCTGAAATTGACAATTCCAGACAGGATTCTACTTCCCGAATTAAACAATTACTTGAGCAGCACAAAGCCTTTCAAAACGTAAGATGACTCGTCTTTCTTTCTCCTCTATTCATCACGTCTATTATGTACAGACTGCGTCCAACGAACGGAAGGAAATGAAACAGATCTTTTAAAGATGGCTTCGTCTGGCGTGCCCGTAATCATTTGCACCAGAAACCATTTAGTTTTATTCTTCAAGAAACGACGTAGAGACGTTTAACATATTACAGAGATCTGTTGCCAAATGAGAACATGTTAATGGTCCACTCTCAAACGTCGTTCTCGTTCTGATCTTTCTCTATTCTTTTCTTTTTACCTTATAAAAGAAAAGTGTATATGCTTAGCGTAGACGTTTTATTATTGGCGTGTTTAGATCTCACATAAGAGTTGATCGCTCTCCTAACAGAAAAGAAAAGAATGAAAAGTATGTTATTAGAAAATGAATGGGGTGGGCAGAAGATCTGTTGCGACCAGAGCACTGCAGGTTGATCCTAACCTAGG